CCCTAACATCAGTCCTCTTAACCCAAAATAACTTCATTTATTGTTTGATAAGCACCATTAAAGGTGTTTTGCTGTAAATAAACAAAGTAACCGGCTGAGAGATTGACAGAAGTGAGGTAACTCAACCAGGCATTCCTAGCCCTAGTACTGTTTTAGCTATGGGTAGTGGCTAGGTCACACTTTTCCACACTAATGGGTCCATTTAGTAGAGCTATGGCAGAGAGTCAGAGCTTAAACCTTCAAAGCATAACTGATTTGGCCCTCTGATGTCCCTGTTCATCAATCATTAACATCATCACAGCCTGGGGTTGGAAGCGAACTCCCAGTTATGCTCTGCTGCCTTCAGAGGGTACTTGGTGCTGTCCCAGGCATGCTCTCAGATCTGGCTGTGACTTAGTAGATGCCACACCTCCCCGGCCAACTTCTGATGGCAAAAAAAAGTTCTCTGATGCTCAGAAGCAAATCCCCGTTTCCTTCTGTGACCAGTAGCTCCGGTTCTGGCATCAAGCAGCAAGGCAGCTGAGCTCTGTCTCCTCTGTACCCACCCTACAGCTATTTGTCCATTGATGAGATGCCCCTCAGCCTGCTCTTCAGCTCTGGGAGCTGAAGAAGCACATGGCTCCCAGCCGTTCCCTGCAGACAGAACGGCGCTCTTCCTGGAACGGCCCTTGGCTGCGCACTCTCCCCTATGTCCGTGTCTCTCCTGTGCTGAGGAGCCCACATCTTCCGAGGCGTGGTCCCACCAGCGCTTAACACCTCGGAAAAAGCTGCTATAAGGTCAGGAATGACTCTCTACAGGAAGTGTGTAAAGCTAAATCAACTTTTCTTCAAGCATGCCAGTGCACAAAAGGTTTCCTAATACCAAACATTATAATGGTCTGACTTAGCTTTAAGATCTTGGACCACAGTACTGACACAGATTTTAAATAAAAACACCTGTCCTTAACATTATAGTTCAACGGAGAAAGATCATCTTAGCATCACGTTATTTTCCAATAAAATAACTTTAAAAACACCTTGGATTCTTAGTTTTGGCCACCTTGCATTTTAAACAAAGGAATGCCGTTTAGCACTGAAAATAGGAAGTTCTTACATATCTACAATAACCTCCTCATGTTGAAAGCAGACCTCCAAAAGGTCTGTTCCATAAAGCTTACATAGCCTTTGACTGTCTGAGGATCTCTTCCTGTCACACACTGAGAGGAATCACTGTGCAATACTCAGATGATGATACAAGCTCTACTTATGGCATTTGTCTCCTCAGTAACTTTTCTGAATGACACCACAAAGTTAATAGCACTCCTTCCCAATCCTACTAAGGAAACCATCCGAAATTAGTCATTATCTTTTATGCCTCAGCAATGGCTGGAAAAACTTTAGGGAAGAAATAAGTGAGTTTATGTTAATTTCCAAAGCAGTAAATTGAAACAGTAAAAGATCAAGTCATCTGAGTGAGTCACAAAAATCTGGCAAAGGAAGAAACTAGAACTTCATTTCCTCAGTTCTGACCTGGAGCCTTTTCAACTTTAGCTACAAGTTAGTTGATTTTACCATTTGTACACCAAAGGCAGCATACAGAAACCTACATGGAGTTAGCAACTAGAATTGTGCATGACAATGGCAGCTTCCATCAGATACACGGATGCTTTCCTGAGCTATGATTGTGCTGCAGTAACACTTGGGGAGGGGGGCAGGTATGCATTAGGCCTTTTTTCCCTCCAAGTCATCATGCAGAGAATAAGTAGTGCATGTCAAGCTTGTGCTCCGAGTCCTCACAATGCTCTGGCACACAGACAAATGGCTTCCCAAGCGTACCTGTGAACCCAGACACGGATGAACACTAATAACCCTTCACCTGATGGTGCCTGAGCCGGGATTTGAATCTAGCAGAGATGCCTATCTGTGCACTGACATCCCTACACCTGTCTGGGGCAGAATCCAGCCCAGCCACCGTGGTCAGGCTGGCATTCATTGCCAAGGCAAGTGCCAAGCCATGACACAACCCAGTAGTTTTGTCTAAGAGCAAGCACATCAAGCATGAAGATGATGAGAACTGTATTTAACACGCTTTTGTTCCCATACCATCAATAAAGGAAACTGAAATATTTGCCCAGAACTTCCTTGTGATTCACAGTGAGATTCCCTCACTCTGACAGTTACTGAAAAGCCAAAGACTGTGGTACCCCGTGCCTGATGTCCTTGAACACTGATTGTACAGGCAATCTGAACGCTCAGCATGGCCCACAGGAGCTTGTTACTGTAGTATTCCTTACACGGTATCACATACCAACCCTTGCCTTCCCCTGCAGAGTCTGAGAGATGATTAAAACAATGGATTATAGCAGCAGGAAGTTTGCCTCAGTGCCAAACCAGAGTTAAACCCACATTTAACCCTCACTGAAGTCCTTCTTCACTGACACAGCTCACCAAAAAGTCACCACCAGTTGTCGGATCCTGCGCTTGAATTCTCATCCTAATTTCCCTCACCACTATCTTTCAGAATGAAGGGGGGAGAAAGATCCAACACTTGGGTTCAGATTATCTTTTAAAATATACACACATACTGATTCTTACAGATATGATACATTTATAATTTGTAACTGACAGAAATCCTGAAGAAGTTAAAAATGAACCAATAGCAAGACGGGTTGAGCTGGAAGAATGAAGAATTAACAGACCAAGTAAAAAGTGGCACAGACATCCTAGCTTATAATAAAGGGATATCTTTATTATCACAGAGTCTAATAAAAAGAGGAATTGCACAGGAACAGAGAAACCCCCGTGGATAATGCTTCACACATTTCACAGCATTCCCCTTAAGAAGAACAAGAACAGAAGAAGATACTTCTCTCATTTATACCAACACAATAATAACTCTGACTGAAGAGATATTGAGAAAAAGTGGAAAAAACACAACTTGCAAAGTTCATTTACATCTAAGAACACATGCAAGCATCACATACTAAAGCAAGTGACCTTGGATCCACAACTTCCCTGGGGAATTGCATGCTGAAAATTCTCACATGAATAAAACTGGTTTTGAGTTCTGTTCCTGAAAAAACTCTAAGGAGCGAAGTGCATTACCCAAAAACCAAACCAGCTTATCCTGCCCCAAATCCTTCTGTTGAACTTAAGAAAATTTCCAAGTTAGCTTTTGTGCTCTACTTAATTTCCACACACGTGTGAGGCAGCGTCTCAGACAGCTAATAGGCTCTTGGGAGCAAGATATGGAGATATGTGTCCCAAAAGCTGTGCCAATCCAGGATTTCCACAATAAACTGAGACACTAATTCTATTGCTGTGGTGATCTAGGACAGGTCAGGCTTGTAGGAACAGGTAGTCCTGTCAGGCAAACCCTTGGGCACAAAGTCACAGAAGACTCAGGAGAAGGTCACCTTTGTGAACTCTGACTGAAAAACACGACAATAAGATGACTCTGGATGCAAAAATTTCTTGCCCAATACGAAACTTAATAATGGGATCACACCTGAGTAATGCCCTGTATGTAAAAAGGAGCATTATTGTCCCATCAGCATTACAATAAAACTACAGACTCCTATGTGTAGATGTTCTGCAAGCTGGATTTTGAAACCCTTTGCATACAATGACACACATGCAAGATATCATCTATCTGATGAGGCCTTTGGGTACAGAAGCTGAAACTGCGTCAGGATCTTCCAACTCAGAAAATGATACTTAGCAATTTACTTCTCGTGGCACAAAGGCTGCTCTCTTGCTTGGCACACGGGATTTCAGTGCATTCCATGGCAAATAGCTGCCAGGCATTTCTGAGGGTTCACACATGTTTCAATGGCTACCCTTTCAAATATCAGTACATGTACTCTTTATGTCAGGCTGAACATAGCCACCACTAAAGCCACATTTGGCAAGACCTTTGCCAATAAACCTGCTCTTTTAAAAGCTCTTTCAACATTTCTGTTAGCCCAGCCGCATTGCAGTGGAATTGGACTCAGGGCAATGGGTCACATCTCCTCCTCCAAAAGAAGATTAGCAGCATTATGGAAAGGAAAGAAAATAATTTGACAGCCATTACACAGAACAGACCAATAAAGGACGAGGAAAAAAAAAACCCAAAACACTAATACAACTCTGGGAAACACACTTATTCATCAGCTACAGCACCATGGCACAGGTGCCAGTGAGGTACTGAAAATTCCACCACACAGATGAAGTTCCACTCAGACTAATTAAGAAACTGAAAAAAATTAATTGATTGTCTTGCAAAGAGACACAACCAAAGACCACAGCAGTGGATACTTCACCTTGTTGGAATTACAGACCTTAAATAAATTATTTGCTTTTATTTAGTCTTCAACCTGGTCAGAATTAGCAAGTATATCCAGTGTTAGCTAGAACAAATAATTCCACCTTACAAACCAAGGGAGTTTTTTCCTAGTATTTTTTGGTGTTTTTTTGTGGTTAGTTTTGTTTTGGTTTGGGGATTTTTTTCTTGTGGGTTTTTTTTGGTTTGGTTGATTTTTTTGGGTGGTGTTTGGGTTTGTTGGCTTGTGGATTGTTTGGGTTTTTGTTTCTGTTTTTAATACTCCGGGATTTTTTTGGTTTGGAGTTTTTGTGTGTGCTTGGTACACCAAGAGCAACATACCAGTACAACACCAGTAGAGATCCTTGGTTATCAGGGCTAACCTGCACTGCTCCAGGCCCCAAATGTTCCTAGCCTTGACCAGATAAACATAACCTGTCTACAACAGGAAGTTCCAAGCATGAACTATAGCTTCCCATCTCATACAGTTGGTATCTAAACCAATTCCTTTTCTCACACATAATTTGATATTGCATCACTACGTGACCCTTTCCTTAATGCAAACTGAATCCCATCATATCTCCCAACCTTTAGCATTCGTTTCTTTCCACTTATGTCACTATTTACAAAACGCTTCATCTACTAGGATGTTGCAATTTTGGAAAAGGAGCTGGTAACTTTTATTCTGGCACCGTTCACTTACTTAAATTTCACTTACCTCAGCGATGTTCTAGATGGGAAACATTACCACAATTTGCCCACTGTCCTCCCTGTTTCTGCCTGTAGATTTTCTCCTTCTGTCTTTCTTTCTGGACATCCACTGCCACAATATGGAATAAAACAGAACACAATTTATGTTGCTAATGCCATGCATTAACTGGCATGGTAATGCTAGGTATTGCACACACACACAAAAAATATATCAGTTTCACCTTCCTTATCGGTCTAGAGGCATTCCCTCTGTGGTCAAACAGTTGGTCCCTCTTGCTTATTCAGTATATCTTTGGAGCTAAGCTGCCTGTTTAAAAACCACCTTGGCTCTGTTGCAACCATGAGTTTCACAGGCAAGTGCGACACTGATGAGCAGCTTTTTTTCTTTCATTTCTGACTGTTGACTTCACCACCAACCTCATATCAGTTGTTTGAAAACTGAATGAGGTTCGGCTGAAAATATTTCGGCAATCAAAAACATTAAAGGCATCATTTTCATCTTGGTATGTGTGATTTTCATGGGCCAAAAAGCACAGGATTCCACATCCCTTCCTGTTTAAGGATGATCCAACTCAGATTGTGCCCTCCAAATGCTCAATCAAGCAGGTTATACCACACTACAGGACAAGTCTTTTATGATGGAACAGTCAAGATGCTGCCCTCACATATTGGTATATTTACTGGGCATCAGTAAACACTTTTTCCTTTATATTTTGAAGGAAATTCAAAGATGCCTCTGGTGCTCTATAATATGGTGACAATAAAGGCAGGTAGCGTTAATCTGGAAGGGAAAGAGAAATTTTCCAAGAGAGATTTTCCCATTATCAGTCACACAGTGTTTGATCCAGGCAAGACAGCAAGGTGTGACACCATCTGCTCCTCACTGCAGTTATCAAAAGTAAAGAAAAAACCAAAATTACTATCCCAAAAGCTGAATATTTCTTCTGTTTTGCTACTAGAACACCAATAACGAGTCAGAATGAAACATTACTAGTGTTAGAGTGCTGCATGTATTTGTGTTTTGTTCAGCAACCAGAGCCAATAAATTAGTAGCACAAGGATATCCATCCTGTTAAACCCAGGCTGTCACAATACAATATGGACACAATACAGCAGCTACTGCCAGTCCTGTCACCAAGATGTCCAAGTCATTGCACAAATTCTTTGGTGACTTCTCAATGGACTCCTCACACATGAGCACTGTTGTGTTCAGCTGCTTTTAATTCACTGACTTCACATTCCCATTCTCCATGATTAATCACTCCTACAGTTCCTTCCTTTCTGGCTCCTGGTCACTTCCAACCCTGTATCCCATGGTGCTTGCTTGCTTCTGCAATAGGCAGCAGAAGCTGTCTCTGTCTCTCTTGCAGCTGCCATCCTTGTCCTTGTTTCATGTCCTGCTTAAGTGTGCACTCAGTGTTCCTTGAATGGCACCCTTCTTGCTGCAGTCTAGAGCAGCCCACAGTGCAGTACCACCCGTTCCTCTAACACAGCAACCATCTTTTACACTCAGCACTGATCACCTCTGGGAGATCAACCCATTCAACTTAACCTCTGAGTCAAAAAACTTTTTTTAAAAAGGCACCACAGAGGTGAGAAGCCAAATTTCTCCAAATGTAAACCAGGCTGGAAGGGAATCTGAAGAAATGCTCTTGGTCCTTAATTTTAGCCAAGACAAAACAAGAGACAGCTTAACCTCAGAAAGAAGCAACAGAACTTACTCCTTAATTTCTTGATGAGCTCGTACCACTAGATGGTGCTTTCAAGAGAACCAAACAATTCAAGTCAAAGCAATGGGCAAGGTTAACACACCAGAACAGAGTGAAAAAAAGCACAACAAATCAAACTAAAAACATAGCCTTATGTTATTAAACTTGGATTCCAGGCCATGTTGTGGTTCCCTGGCAGAGAAAGGGAGCCTTAACACACCCTGTCATCACAACAGGGACATGACGAACAATGACGTGTTCATAATGATGCCGAGTTCTCAATTGCTTCCAGCAAAGGATACCAGGCCATGGAGAGAAGAAAATAGACTCCAGCACCCTCTGGGCAAGCAGATGTCATTTTCAGAAAAGAGATGAATTACACTCAAAGTGACCTGAAGCCATCTCACTTACCACCTGTCATAGCCCCTCCAAGCATAACACTGGATCACTGGGCTCAGTAGTCTGGGGGAAAAAAAAAAGTGAAAAAAGTTGGTGCTTGTCCTTGACAAATAAGCAAGAATTGACAACTTTTCTGGTTATTACTACCATTCAGAATCTCGCTAAACAAATCATAAGAAAAGCTTGGCAGCTGCCTTTTTCATCATGTTTTAAAACATATGTAACATTGCCATACAGATACACAGCTCAGCCAGCTGGAAGCTTCAAGATATGTTGTTTTGCCTCATGCTCCAATCAGGTAATGAATAGAACATGGCACAGAACAAATATATACATTTTAATTTCAGTCTTTGCACTGTTTTATTGTTTGTTTAAGCCAGCCTAACTGAGACTCCTTGCACTATACGCCCCTGGTTGCATTCCACTGGAAACAAAGGCATATTTGAGGGAAGTACCTCTCACAAAGAGGTATTGATGAACCAGAAATCAGAGTCTGGACAAATGACCATTTTTCTATAAACACAGCTCTATTGTTTCAGCTGTTCTTCTCCAAGGGAATAAATATTTCATTATTCAAAGCAGTGGCTGAAAAAGCAGAACAACTCCTCCCCCTTCAACCAATAATCTTTCCCACTCCACTCCAGAAAAACCCAACTCTGTGGTATTTGTGATGCCTCTCTAGCTGTATTTGTATCAATTTTTACACTCTTAACTTGTCCACAGAGACATTACTGTGACATTAAAAAGAGAAAGTCTGAGCTAATTAAGACATGTACAGAAATTTCTGCGATCCCTTGTCCGCAACACATTAAACCCGACTTGCTCTTTGCATCTGCACCACCTCTATTTAACTCTTGGTTATGCTACTACCGATGCCTTCGTTTTCACTAATCCTACATTGTTTTTTCGCTTTACTCCACCCCTTCAAGCTGCCTCCTCTGCAAGGAGTTCCTTCCCAAGTGTGTTCTCACCTGTTTCACAGATACAAAATCAAAGGGAGGAACCCCATCTACCTTCCCTCCAGCCCTAGCAGATTTCAACATCTAATCTGAGTCAGGAACACTTTCTGGGAATGACTCTTTCTGATCCACATGAACCCCACAGCACCAGAGTTACAACACAAGCCATGATTTCAGTAGCTGTGGAGGGCTATTTCCATACTCTCGCCCAAAATCCACACTGGCCAGATGGAAGGAATGCAGGTGAACAGATTCTCTAGTGTCTTACATCTCAAGAGAGACCTGAGATGATATTTATTGTCTTCAGCTGTCCACTGGGATTGGGTAAATAAACAGCAAGGCTTTTTGGGAAGTGCTCAGTGATACCATGGAAGGCAGTGGACACAAAGGCCAAGACCAGAAGAGCTGCCTAGATACTTGAAAATAAACAACATTGTTGTCAAACACTGAAAAAGGTTGCCAGATAGGCTGTGGAACCCTGATACTCAAATATTCCAGGCTGAAGTAGCCAGGCCCTAAGCACCCAAAACTAACATGATAAATTCTGGGCAGGGGTGGCATTACACCCCCAGACATAGCTTCCAACCTGGATTATTTTAGGATTCCCATGCTCAAGGATGCCTGTATCTGGAGTGACTGTAGCCAGTAACCATCTCCAAAACTGTCTTCACAAACTTCTGCAGAAGGAAGATGGATTAAGGCTCCCAAACACTCAAATCTACACATGACAGTTCTGTAATAGATTTTAGTACGCTTCTCCATGCACGGCACACAAAATCAAAAATCCCAACAGCCAGTTACTAAGTCTCAGTTCATGATCCCATACATAAAAATATCCAACCCTCCTCAACCACAACAACTTAGACCACAACAAAAGGAAAAAAATACATTACTCCACAAACTGATCAAGCTCTACCATGCCTTATGGTTAAAAGAACCAACCTTCCAAAACTGCTGGCAAAACTACAGCGTAGAAAGAGAGGTCAAGCATGAAATGGCAGATTTTTTTCTTCCCTAAACACACACATTGACTAGCTGCAGCTCAGTCATTACAGCTAGAGTAATAGGGTAAGGGGACTAATGCAATTGTAACAGTTCACTGCTCCCAACATTTTCATGCCCGTGCATATGTTTAACACACTCTTGATACAAAATAAGATCCAGGTTCCCTTAGCAAATCATTCCATGTATTATTCAGCATTCCTAGGAGGGCTTCAATGTGGATGTACTCAGTAAGAGACAATGGCATCCATGAAATCACTGAGGTCCTGCAGAGGAAGATGGTGGATACGAGGAGACAAACACAGGAAGCACATCATTATGTGATGGTATCAGCCCCGGGCTGCACATAAATGGAAGAGCTCTGTACTGAGAAGCAGCATCTGCTCTCCCCCACGTCACAAGTCTGGGCCAGCACATCCATCAGCAATGATGTTATTGCCATCCCATTTCGGTGTACCTGGTGCATCCTAAGCACAGCTAGGGTTACAGAGATACCCACAGAATCAAGATACAAGCTAGTTCATTCCATTTCAGAATGTGCTAATGCATCAACAATGCAAAGAAAACAGAGGATTAAAGCAAGGCACATCTCCCCTCCAAGAGGGGCAAAAGAAGAAAATAGCCCTAAAAAATAAAAGCAGACAAAACGGTTATTTGGAAAGGAAAGAACAGATTTTCAATAATACAAAACACTAGTTGCTTTTTTCTGCAGTTGTTTAAAAATTACTTCCTTGAGTTTGTATAAATCGTGTTGCTGAAATTCTGTACCAACTTGCTACTTGCTTCAAGATATTTCCCTTCTTCTATTTAATACTGTTACTTGAATGCAGCTTTTAACACTACGTTATTCAGAATTACATCAAAATCGTCAAATGCGTGAAATGTTCAAAAGTTCATACATAAGAAATTCATGAGGAGCTTGGACAAATACACATAAAATGATTCATTGGAGACCTTTGACTTGAAAGAAACAAGTAAGTCATCAGGGGCATGACACAGGACACCAATAGATTTCTAATATCTACACATAATTAAGAATTTCTTTTTAGCTTGTTGGAGCTCTAATTTGTTAAGACTGTTCTTTTCCCTACTTTTGGGAGGAATGGAAATGGGTTCCTGACATTCTTAGAAGTGTCTTTCCCATCCTTCTCTTGGTATTTAGCTCATCTTATAAAAAAAAGGGAAGAAGAAAGGCTACACTGAAAACTAAATTAACCAGAGCATTTGGAGAGAAAATGACTTTCAATTTCATCTCTCTTCCAAAGCCGATTGCCTGCCCTAAATGATTCATTCTACACTTCAGGCCTCCAAGCTCTCTGGTTGCCTTCAGCACAAGGACAGCATGAAATAATTGAAACCAACAACAAGGAAAAACTTGACATTGCAGGGAG